ATTATCTAAATCATACGGCAACCACAAGAGCAGTGTTACTATCAGTTTCTTTCTGAAAATACCAAGATATGAAGGTGAAGTAACTTGAGGTCACCCACCTAAAGAGCCTGAGCTGGGATTTGACTTTGAGCTGGGCAGGCTCCATATTCCCTGCTTTGTGTGTTCCTTGGGAGTTGAGTCCCAGGCACCTGCTTACTTCAGAATCTCTGAAAGAGACACCCCCTGCCTCCCTCTGCTGACACCCACAGATGCAAAGCCACAGTGTGGGTTTTGATGGGAATTTGTCCTCACCTTTCATTCAGAAGACCAGGGTTTGATTCCTGGTCAGTGCATTTCGTACCAGCCACCACCTGCCTATCCATGGAGGCTTACAATTTACTATCATTCTGAAGACGTTATAGTATAGACTTCTAACTAAGATGGGATAGGAAGAAAGGCTTCTAAAAAACCAGCCACTAAAACTCCACATGGATTCCCCTGGGGATGGTACAGACCTTTTTATTCCATCCTACACAGACTGTCTCTAGTCGAGGTGACTTGATAGCAGGTGATAACAGCAATAACAGAAACATTGTGGGCCACTTAATTGGTTTGTAGGCACTTTTACACATTATTCCCTCAATTAAAAGCCTTTAATGGCAGTATTCTACCTTTGCCCAAGTAAGTTATGATGTCTGTTGTCCCCACCTTCCTACTCTTCCTCCCTGTACCCCTGGAGGTTTTTTGGTTGTAACAAATGAACACCTGCCAAGGCCTATGCGAACCACTGTGTGTAGTTAGGGCTGTGTGCTGAACTCCGCAAGGCAATTTAACCTTGGACTGTTTAAAAAGCCTAGGCTGATGACTCTGATCATTTTCCTGTGGAATCCAACCCTAATTTGGGTCTCTTTTCCTTTCTACTTCATAGACTCGTAACTTTGTGTGAGATTTCCAAAGGCATTAGCTCATCTTTTGCTTCTCAGTATGAAATCATCTCCTGCAGATAGAAATTTGACTTCTTTTTAAAATTCCCTGGAGTGTCAAGGTGGGAATCCCAAGTTTGCTCATGTGCATAATGACCTGCGTGGGCCAGATGGCCCTGACGCTCTTTCTGAGAGAGCACACATCCTCCTCTCAGGACAGCCAGATAGGGTGCCTAAAAAGCTTTAGGTTAAGAAGTTCCTTTTTTTAGATGACCCAAGATGACAGCTTCATCACACACTGTGCTGTGCCCCTCCGGCAATGAACTCAGAACCCAAATAAAAGAGATAAAGATGATAATCTGAGAACCCTGAACAAAAGTGTGAAGAGGGAATAATTAGATTGAGTGCCAAAAGAAAAGGAGAAACGGAATGAAAATAGCAACCGCGGAGACTTAGGGCCAGTCAGCGTGCTGTTCTCTGACCATCCGGAGTCAGAGACCAGGGCTCCCAGGTGAGGGGTTCAGGAAGTCAACATCCTAGACTTCCAAATAGGAGGCACACATACACTGTGGACAAACTCAGAACAGAGTAGAACTGGATCTAAGGAGGGAAAACGCAGGAAGGTGGGAGAGAGCCCCTGGGTTCCCGCTACCACAGAACCGGAGAAAAGCCTGAAAACAGGGATAGAATGACTCCCCAGCAGCGGTCCCTGATCATTCAAGTGGATTGTGCTGGAAGAGTGGAGGGTCGTTCAGTGGAGGCTAGAGAGTCGTTCTACCTACCAAGCCTGCTCTACTGAACGTCTTACATTTGGTCAGGGTGAGGCCTGCCTGTCAGGTGCACTCTGTAGGGAGGCATGAGCACTCACACCAGTCACTGGGGAACACGGATTCTCCTTCCCTCTCCTGCCTTCTCTGTGGCCACCATCATGCCCCCTTCCCACTGCTTCCACACCCATCACTCTGTGCTGTGTTTTCCATTCCATGGGACCTGCAACCGGAGGATGAGGCCTGCCTTGCCCATCCCTGTGCTGACCCACCCCACGGTGATCATATCAGTGGTTCCTGCTGTGCTATCAGACCTGTGACCGGAGGCTTGCTCCCAACTCCCACACTGCACTGCTCACACCTGCCAATCAGCAGTTTGCATTCTCACCACCAGATGGTGAGTTGAGTCATGGAAGCCCCACCCCCTTCACCTCTGCTGCCCCACCCGTCCAGGGACCAGCGGTGAGAGTTCCCACGCCACCCACCTGGTGATCTGTGTACAGTTACCAACTGGTAACAGGTGGCGTGCACACATACTATGCCCAATCCAACAACAGGCAAGGATGCCCCACCCCTGTGCCCCAGCGACACGACATACACACTCATCATCTAATCAGCAGTACCAGGTACATCCTCGCAGGTGCCATCTGCACCTCTCCACACAACGAGCAGGAGATATGGTGCCCTCATCCCTCATCCGACCCTGCACACGTTCCACACCCAGCACTTGCAGGAAGACACTTTGTTACCCCACCACCTACTGAGACATCAATTTCCATGCTACTGGGCCTAAAAAAAATCCAAAAAAACCAAAAAACCCCAAAATAAACTCCAAACTTAATAAACACAAAATCAACTGTAACAACAAAGGATATGAAAAGAATATATATAAACAAAAAACTCAGCAAAGAAATGAAGCAGAACAAAGAAACCAGAACAGCACACACACACACACACACACACACACACACACACACACACACACACACACACACACGTAACAAAATGGCAGCGGTAAATGTGTACCTATTGATAGGCACCCTGGATATAAATGGTTTACATGCATCAGTCAAGAGATTAAAAATAGTGAAATGGATTTAAAAGCATGATCTATCAATATATTACCTACAAGTGACACACTATAGATACAAAGCCAGATAAAGACAGTCACTGGGTTATGAATAACATCCATTCTTGAGTTGGGACAGGTCCCTAATATTCTTATTTAGCATCAGTTAATGAAATATTTGTCTCAGTTTATATATTACCTTCCTATGTATATAAAACACTTGTGAAATACTTTAAAATACAGTAAAATTTCTTAGGTGTACAATAATGAAGTAATAACAATAATAAATCATTCCTAAAGGAAGAGAACCTGTATGTATGTCTGTAGGTATGTAATAATATAAAAAAAAATCAAGACATTGTGCTCGCTTCGGGAGCACATATACTAAAAGTAGAACGATACAGAGACGATTGGCATGACCTTGTGCAAGGATGAAACACAAATTCCTGAAGTGTTTCATGTTCCATATTTTTTAAATATATATATATTGTTGTTGTTATGTGCCATCAAGTTGCTTGTGACTCATAGCAACCCTATGTACAATAGGATACTTATTAGGATACTGGATACCTGCCCTATCTGGTGCCAATTTTATTATCTCTTACATGCCTCCCCTCATTACCACAGTCACTGAATCCTCCATTTCATTGAGGGTCTTCCTCTCCTGCACCGTCTCTCTACCCTTCCAAAAATGACATCCCTCTCCAAGGACTGGACACTCCTTGAAACGTGACCAAAGTATGTCAGAATCCTTGCCTCCAAGGAGTAGCCTGATTTCACCCTCTCCAGGACAAGCCTGTTCATTCTCCTGGCCTTCTATGGTATATTCAATACTCTTCTCCAGCACCACAGTTCAAAGTCATGAATTCTCTTTCTATCATCCCTAGTCATTGTCCAGCTTTCTGACACATAGCAAGTAACTGCAGAGACTATGGCCTGGATCAGGTGCACCTTAGTCTCCAGACTGACCATGTTACTCTTCAGTAGGGTTAGAAAAGCATCTTCTGGTTCTTCCGGTTTCCAGATAGAAGAGGCTGTTGTTCATGTTGTTCTAGGAACCAGCTTAGTCTTGTGACTAACTTCTCTGAGTCTTTAATGCCCCTTATTCTCTTTCACTCCGTATGAGTGGAGACTAACAGCTGTATGTTAGACATCTCGCTCAAGCTTTCAAGACCTCAGAACTGTTTCTTTTTAATGTCTTGGTTTGGTTTTTTTATTTCTTTAACTGCTAACTCTACTGAATTTCCCCAAAATGGCCAGACTTCCTGGACCTACAGAGATGAAAGGAACTCTTGAGACTATTTCACTAATTTATCGTTTGAACTTGGAATTGAACATACTTCTGCAGGCCATCTTTTAGTCAAATAATATTTGGGCTTATAAAAGAAACAATAACATAAGTGATTAATGTGCTTCCTTAAGCAGCTACCTGTATAATATCCATTGGGCGACATTTACCTAAAAGCTTACCCAAAAGAGAAGGTAAGAGGAGGAAAGGAAGCTGGATCATTGGAAAGAGAACAACTAAAATGGAAATAATGAGAATGCAAACATTGAAAAATTGCAAACAATGACATGGGGCAATCAGCCCAGTAGTTATTAAAGGAGTTGTAATTAGCTGTTTACACTTCCACCCAAAACACAAAATGTTTTTTTAAAAAAATTTCTATTTACTTTAAATCTAATATTCACCTTGCAAGGTTGGTGGTTTCAGTCTACTCTGAGGAACTGGGAAGAAGAGGCCAGGAATCTGCTTCTGGAAAAGTCAGCCATTGAAAACTGTGTGGAATGTTGCTCTATCTGATGCACACAGGGCTGCCATGAAGCAGAAATGCCTGGATGGCAACTCACTTTTTAAGCTTGTTCCGGTCTCCCCTGGAAATAACTGGTCACTCACAAGCCTGTAGATTTTGTGAACAGTGACTGGGATGCTGACCTTCAGTCCAGGGTCTCAGGCAAATGGATTGAGTTCCTCTCCCCACTTTCTTGACATGCCAGTGCTGTCATTTGACAGAGAATCTGCTTCCTGCTGTGCCTAGCTTGTTCCTGAAGGCCTGGCAGCTCCGAGCTGGCCTCAGGGGAGCTAGGAGTCTGCCTTTCTGGATGGATTGCATCCTCTCTCATTGTCAGGAAATAAGTGATGTGGGTTGTCACCCGTGGGCTTCCTGGCTGCCAGCTGTGTCAAGAGAGAACACTAAAATGCATCAGTCTTCCCTGAGGCACTGGGCCATTCATGGTCTTTTTTTATTTCCCCCACCACAGAAGAATAAATCTGAAAAATCCTGTGGTGCAGCATGTGCTGGAGAACAAGAAGGTGCTATGCGTCCTGGCAGGAAAGATTGTGATGACACAGCAGTGCACACTCCTCGAGAACACCTACCTTGGAATCAAGTGTGATGGTGCACTGGGGCTCCAAACCGGGACCATGGAGGTGAGGCTTCCAGGGGTGAGGGTCACCAGACCACCAGCCCCGGTATGAAGATGTGGCCAGGGACTTCTTTGGGGGGGGGGGGGCACTGTCTTCATTAGTTGAAGGATTCTGAAGGGATTTAAGAGATATCCAACTCTAATTGGCTTCAGCAAGAAATGTATTGGCTCCTGTAACCTAAATGTTGGAGAAATCTATCCTCAATTACTGTTCAATTTAGAACTTTAAGGAGTCAGAGGAAGGATGATTCCCTCTCAGAGGGAATGACTGCTTCCAGACTAGCTTTTACTACACCAAGTTGGGTCAGGTCCACTCCTTAAGTGGACCCTAGGTCAGGGGGACAAGACTGATCAGGGGTCCTGGGTCAGGCTCCTCCCTGGTGGGAGAGTAGCTTCCCTGAGAAGTCCTGTTCCCTGGTTCCTAAGCAACTAACTCATAGCTGATGCTCCAGCAGCTTTTCAGAGGCAGTTAACCACAGGGGAGAAGGTTGCCTATCTTTCTTTCTCAGATTAGCTGGTGGGTTCTAACCATGTGCCTTTGGGTTGGCAAGGCAATGTCTGCTGCTAAGCTGTCAGAGCTCCCTAATGGGGTCCTGTTGTTGTTGTGTGTTGTAGAGTCAGAGCCAACCCATAGCTGATCCTCCTGGGAATTTTCAGAGGCAGATAATCACACAGGAGGAGATTGCTCATCCGTCTCCCAATGAGTGGCTCGTGGTCTCGAACTACATACCTTCAGAATTGCAGTGCAGCTTCTTGCAACTGTTGTTGTTGTTATGTACCGTCCAGTCGTTTGCGACTCATAGCGACCCTATGTACAACAGCCCTAAACCCTGCTCTATCCTGTGTCAATCACACTGCCTCTGACACACCCATCCCTAGTACCCCAGTCACTGAATCAATCCACCTCATAGAGGGTCTTCCCGTCTTGCGCCATCCCTCCACCCTCCCAAGCATGATGTCCCTCTCTGAGGACCTGTCCCTCCTTACAACATGCCCAAAGTATGTCAGACGAAGCCCCAGAATTCTTGCCTCCAAGGAGTAGCTTGGTTTAACCCTCTCTGGGATGAATGTGTTCGTTTTCTTGGCAGTACATTCAATACTCTTCTCCAGCACCACAGCTCAAAGGCATCAATTCTTCTATCCTCCCTAGTCATTGTCCATCTCTTTGATGCATAACAAGTGATTGCAAAGACCATGGCCTGTATCAGCCACTAGGCCACCAAAAATCCTTATTGGGGTCCTACTGAAGCCAAATACAGACAAAATCACAGAGCCATCTGGAGCTACAAGTCTCAAAATTATTGCTTTTTCATTCTCATTCATTGCCATTAAGTCAGAATTGGCTCATGGCAGACCCTTGAGCAGGTTTTTGAGGTGGTAAACTGCATGGGAGGAGATTGCCCAGCTTTCTCAGATGGAGCCACTGGTGGATTTGAACTGCCAGAGAGATGCCAACTGGGGGTTAGCAGCACAGCTTCCTATGCACTGTGCTGCCAAAGTGCCTCTCCTCCATTAACTGCCTCAGTTAATTTGTGGACTGAATGAGGGCAGATCAAGATAGTATACCCTCCCACAAAACATGCTTCCATGTTAAATTGTAGACAGACTTTCTGAAGTGACCCGCAAGACAGGATTAACATCAGTGGAATAAGAGGCCATCAACCAGACCTTACCCTTTCTTGCCCTGGCGCCTGATCCTGCCCTCTCTGTTCTCGCCTCCTCTGCCCCACCCTTTTTATTTAATAGCTCCCAGTCAAACTTTGGTATTGTTTAGGATTTTACTAGAATTTAGAAGTTGGCTCCATAACTCTTATGAGGGAACAGGGAAATTACTATTGTTGTTATTTTTTTAAAAATTCAGCACCTTAGATCTAATTTCATTGTATCCCATACTTGGGGTTTTGGTGCCAGGAATCTAACCAATCACTTAGAAATACGTGTAGTAAGTCAGCTGGCAACATCCTAGCCTCTGCCTTCTGCCTCCTCCTTTCCACTTGGACATTTTCTGAGCACCTCTGTGCAATGCACAAGGCTGACCCTGTGGCAATGCCCAGAGAAGCCTGCACGGTCTAAGTACCTAGGTGACTGGTATCTTGGACACTCTTACCCACAGGGGACAACGACGGAGAATGGGGCCATTTACAGAAAATCCGAAGAGGCTCAGGAGATCCCAGCTTTCACCTCGATTGCCTACAGTGTCATCGAGTTACATGTGAAGGCGGATGGCCAGTTTGGTGAGTGTTGATGTCTTGCTTGGAGCTCTTGGGAGATGGCTGAGGACACCTAGTCTTGCCCTTGGGCATATATGTGTGGACAATCTCTTAGTACTTCAAGATGTGTTGGAGAAGAAAAGATTGCAGAAGAGGTTGTCCAGAGGTCTGGTCTCCGGACCTGTGGGATGCACTAGGTGGGCCTTGGGGAAGAGATGTGAGGTACTACTCCTTCAGACATGGTGTGTGACGTGAGGTTTCACCAGGATGCATTCTGTGCACATTGGCCTCAGCACCATTGCATCCTTCGAGGCCTTCTTTCTCTCATTGCCTCCAAGGAAGAATCAACCCATAGCTGACCCTCCTTTGTGTTTCTGAGGCTGTAAATTGCACCAGAGAAGATTGTCTTTCTTCCTCTTGTGAAACTTCTGGTGGATCCAAACCACCGAGGAGGTTAGCAGTGTGGCTTCTTTGGACTAGGCCACCAGAGCTCCCCAGGAGGTCTCAGGCAAACCACTAAAATTTGTTGAGCCTTAGTTTCCTCTTCTGTGTTCAGGGAAAGTTTTCCTCGTGGGGCTGCAGTGAGGATTAAATTAGATCAAGCATATGAAATAACTGGCACAGGAGCCTTTTATTAAGTGTTCCCTTTGTTGTTGTTATGTGCTCTTGAGACAGAGCCAGCTCATAGCTGACCCTCCAGTAGGTTTTCAAAGGATGTAAATCATACAAAAGGAGACTGACCATCTTTCTCCTGCAGAGCAGCTGGTAGGTTTGAACGGCCTGCCCTTTTAGATTGGCAAGCTAACGTACTACTACGCATGCCTTGCTTAATAGGCTACCTTAGTTAGTGGTTTACCATCACTATTACCACCTTGGAGAAGATCTCACTGACTTTCAGGCCTATTAAAAAGTATATGGATAAAGACAATTCCATCTAGTTACTTATGTCTGCAGAAAGGGCTAGGTGTACTAGAGGCAGCCACTGGAGTTTTGCTATAGGGCCTGAGCTGTAATTTCTGTATATAATTCCTGAGATTCAGGGTCTTAGTGCAAGTCATGGATTTCTGACTGTTATGTTCGTCCTCTAAATGGCAATTATCCAAAGCTTCTTGTCATAGGAATATTTTCTATCTTTAGTGCCCATTCTGAGATTTTTTATTTTGTTGCTGCTTTGTTTAGATTGTATAGATGTGCATGTATTTTCCTTATCTATGATACTGTTCTGTTTTCAAGTTACATTTCTCTGGGAAAAATACATGGGTATATCTTGGTATCCAAACCCTACCAAGCCAAAGGGTTGCTATGAGTTATCTATGACTCAGCACTTAACAACAACAACAAACAGTTAAAGGCTCCAGTCCTTGGGAAATGCCATCATGCTGAGAGAAGTGGAAGGTCAGAGAAGAAAAGAAGCTCCTCAACAGGATAGATTGATACAGTGACTGTAGCAATGGGCTCGAGCATGTCTTGGATTGTGGGGATGGCGTAGGATAGGGCCAGGGGTTAGATCTGTTGTTCATAGAACTGCTGTGAGTCATAGAGAGAGTTCTGTGGGCCTAGTGGATAGAAAGTGATGCTACTAAGCCGAAGGTGGGTGATTTTAATCTGTGATTTTAATTGTTTTTGGTTAAACATTCCAAGTGGTATCGCATTGGTCTGTCCATGTGCTGTACAGAGATACCTCGTGGTTGCTGTGATGCTAAACACTGTGACACTGATAATGCCAAATGTGATAGTGGTTACCCATGATGGACAGTGTTTGGTGGAGCTCCCTGATTAAAACAGGCAGGAGTGGCATCCACTTCCGACATAGCTTGCCCTCAGAAACTCTCTGAACTTGGAAAAACAATGACAGTTATGCAAGGGTTTAGGTGATTTGTTCATAGGGTCACTATGAGTCTTCTATGACAGCACTTAACAACAATAACATTATCACTTCCATCTGTAATATAAGAAACCAGAAATACTGAACTCCTTTACTGATAACAAATATGTCCCAAAGTAGAAAGCTTATCATTGCCATAGCTTGAAGAAAAGAAAGTCTTTGATTTGTCTAGCATCTGCTGATCTTAGATGCTTTCAGCCCCTTCTCTCATGTTCCTTCTGAGGATAAATTGCTTTGTACCCTAGATAGTAGTCAATAGACACGCAAATTAAGATGGGTATAGAGAAAGGGGATGATCAACACAATGCTAAAGAAATGGGCGGAGAAGAAAGAGTTGGCTGATTCTTAGGGATGTAAGTAAATCTATTGTCAATATTTTAGGCATGGCATGATAATACTGTTATTTTTATAAAAATTACTCCTTTTTTATGCTCTACATTGAAATATTCACTAGTGTAATGATAATATTGGAAACAGGAGAGGCATCCACTTCTGTAATAGCTTGCCTCCAGAAACCCTATGAACCTGGAGAGAGGATGAAAGACACCCAAGTGTTGAGGACTCTCCTTCATAAGGTCGCTATGAGTCGCCTGCGACTCGACGGAAATTAACAACAACAACAACCCTGATAATATGCCTGTCATTTGATTTAATAACAGTAGGGGTAGAGTATAAGGAGTATGTGTGTGTTGGGGGTAGGGTGAGGTGAAAGAAGAGTGTCCTCGACTCATAGCTACTGAAGCTGGATGATTGGGTCATCATACAGCTTTCTCTCTACTTTGTATAGTTTGATATTTTCATAAAAAAACCATTTTTAAAATGTGTCATGGTAGAAATGCACACACCTGTTCCTGACTCCTGCTTCCTGATTTGTTTTCAACCAAGGACAGGAATCACCAATTAATTTGCTCTTGGCACGTCTGCAGCCCACCAGCATTACAATACTACCCAGTTACAACTACAGGGACTCAGAGATCCAAATGTTCTCTGGGCTTAAAGTCAGTGGGTGTGTTCGGAACAGAAGAAAAAGAGCGCAGGATGCTGTCTCAGAGGAGACGCCCTCTTTATTTTTACTAGTGAGAAAGCCTGTCTTTCTGGCAGGTGGAATGATTTGCCTGAGATGACAATAAGAGAATGTGTCTGTTTTAAGAAATAGGCTTCGAGAGGTTAAGTCAGTTCACATGAGACACAAAGTCAGGAATTGTTTCTTATAACCTTCAGACCCCAAAATCCAGATTTTTTGCTACCATGAACATTTTAGAAAACAATATTTTATTTTTTAAATTTTATTTATTACTTTTTTAATTCAACGGTTTTTTTATTCATATGCATTGTATTTCACACATTCACATTGTGTTTCACACAATCATTCCCATACATTGTCTCATAAAATTAATCACCATTGATCTGTACCCACTATTGCCCTGTCTTTTTCAGATCCGACTGGATCTTTCCTAATTCCTTCACCTCCTCCAGCCACCCACCAACTGTAGTTGTTAAGACGGCCCAGTTGTTCCTCAGGCCAGTGTTCTCATCAGTCTATCAAAAGCGTTGTTTACCACATGAGCCTCTGTTAGTTCAAGCACTTAGGCCCTGGTTATTCTGTTGGCATTACTGAAGGTGAATGTGGCACAGTTTAAGCAAGGCTTCAAACTGGCTGGTCCCAGTTCAATCATGGCCAATGACACAAAATGAGGATGGACTAGAATTTGTAAAATGTGAGTGAACCAGAACTGGAAAAATGATGAGTCAAAATACCTGTTAGAAACTTAACTTCCCTTTTAGAAAGTAAGGGCAATGTTCACATGGCAAAACTTGACTGCCACAACCGGCAACAGCAATGCCCTGGTCAAAGATGGCAGCTCATCATGCTGCTTTAAAATTGTGTGGCTCTCTAATGTCCTCACCACAGACAATCTCCAGCATCAGGTTCCTGCACACGCTTATCACAACTACCATTCTAGGGCCTCTGCCCTAATTTTTCCCATTCTGGCTGTCATTTTTCTCATGTATCTAAATTTTAAAAATTCAGGCCTATCCCAAATTCCCTATTCCCAAATTTACAATTGGCAATGATTGGACCAGTTGAAAAGTCCTGGTTTTGTAACCTTTTGAAAATGGCTCCCCCCACCTGTGACCACGTAGGAGAGTCCTCTAGATTGACTCTGCAGTGGCCAGCGACCAGGGCAAGCCCCCTCCTGTTTGCCCAGTGCGACGGTGATGCCAGGCCAGGCCTGTGGCTCTGGGGGCAGCCTGTGGATCCCTCAGGGGCCTCTGAGGCACAGCCTTGCTCTGTGTGTCTCTCTTGTTTGCATTTCAATTTCAAACCTTTTTTTCTGGCATGCTTCCGCTGTCTTTGAAAATAAACTCCTCTTTGTGCTGCTGAGAAAAGAGGTGCCCTGGGGGTTTCTCAGCATCCCTCTGGCTTCTCTCCCACACCCTGGCCTCAGGAAGCAGCTCCCTTGCTCTTTCAAATTGCCAAGTGCACCGCCTTAGCAGCGTGGAGAGCAGGCGCTGTTCCCTGTGACTCACTGCCTGAGTTTTAAACTCGTTCTGCTTTTTCTTTTCCCCTTTCCCCATCTGTGTTTTCTATCACTCCTACTACAGAATGTTCTGATCAAGCTTCATAAACATAGGCTTGCAGGGACTGCAAAGGATGACCCTTAAGAGGCTGCCTGATCTCTGCTTGCCCTTTGCAATAATGGGGTAAATCTATACCTTTTGGTGAAGCATCCTCTGCCTTCCTCCCCTGCCAGGAGGGGCCTTTCAGCCATGCACAGCAGGCCCTTCCTTTACAGCCTCACCCCCTAACCCTCACTCCCACCCTCATATGTGGACAATCAGAAACAGTTTTTTAAACAAAATGTATATGAATGATTGAATGAAACCAATTAGATTTGTAAGCTTTCACACAATAAAAGGCCAGGGGGGAAAAAAAAGAAACCCCTAAAGAAAACATCTTTTGATTGTCTTGGACTTTTATACTTGAATTATTACACTTTTGTACAGTTGTTGCTTTGTACTATTGAGTTGGGACCTAAACATAGCTGACCCTTCAGCAGGTTTTCAGCGATTGAAAACCTCATGGGAGGAGGTTGCTCATCTTCCTCCCATGGAACAGCTAGTGGATTTGAACCACAGGCCTTTGGGTTAGTAGAGCAACTCCTTACCACCAGGCCATGTTATTGTTGTACACCATCAAGAGGAACCAACCCATAGCTGACCCTCCAGTGGGTTTTCAGAGGCAATAAACTGAAAGTGAAGCAATTGCCCACCTTTTTCCCATGGAGCAGCTGATGGGCTCGAACGGCATGCCTTTGGGATTGCAGCACAACTTCATTCTACTAATCCACCAGAGCTCTTTAGGTAATGAAATTATTTTTGGTTTTTAGATGTTACACACACACACACACACACACACACACACACACACACAACCTGCCAATTGAACATTTTTTGTGGGTCCAATTTAGAGATAAGTCATGTTGTGCAGCCCTCACTAATCTCTGCTGTCAGGTTTCCATCACCATAAACAGAAGCTCAGTGCTTGCTAAATAACAACACACACACCCCCTTCCTCTCTGCCCTCCTGCTCTTGGTAACAACTAAAAATTAGCCTCCTTTTGGCTCTGATTTGCCATGGAGGGCCTGTGGACATGGATACAGTGTTTCCCACCTTCATGCCCAGTCTGTCATTTCTTGACAGGTTAGCTGGTCTAGATGCTAGCATCTCTCCCTGAATTCCCACTGCAACTTTTCATTGGCTCCTTCACCTCTGACTTTCCCCCAATGATTTCATCCCACTTTTGTACCAACGGGATGATTCTAAATTGAAAATTCCGTCATGTCACCCTCCTGCTTATACGTCCTTGCACAGCTCCAGTTGTTTCAAGGATAGAATCTGAGCTTCTGAGAACTTTGTGGGCTAACCCAGGTATGTCTCCAGCCTTCACTCTCATCTTTCTCTTGTCATTCAGCCAGAACCAACCCTTAACAGACCCTCTCTTGGGTTTCTGAGGCTGTCAATCCCACAGCAAGTGTTGCTCATCTTTCTCCTAATGGTTTTGAACTGCTGGAGATGCTTAGCCTTTGAGTTAGCAGTGCACGTGGGCAATGCCACAGAGCTCTCACACCAGCCTTCTGTGGTGGTCTTGCTAGAATCAACCTGCCGTGCTGGGATGAACCTTTCTCTTATCTCTGGATCCCGTGACTGTTGTTCTGTCTGTGGTCCTTGGTCTGTCTGCCTGCCTCACTCCTTCCAAATCTGCTTCATCCAAGCAGCCTATGCTGGTCTCATCCCACCTGTCACCTGTTTCAGGGACCTCTGACTCCATCTTGCCCTCTTTGGAGGAACAAAAGAGGTTTGTGTTTTAGATCTTGTGTGTGTGTGTGTGTGTGTGTGTGTGTGTGTGTGTGTGTGGCACCCAGCACGCCCCCTGCACAGAGCAGGCATCATTTCACATCAGATGGGTGAAGATGGATGGGAAGCCTTCTGGGGCTGTGTCTGTGTTACCAAGAGTAGTGTTGGCAGCATGGACTCAGAAAGTCCCAGTTGGTCTAGTGTAATTTTGGAGGCAACACAGGGCACCTGAAAAGCCCTAGTGTCACAGTGGTTAAAGTATTCAACTCTTAACCAAAAGGTAGGTCCTTTGAACTCACCAGCCAGTTTGCAGGAGAAGGATGTCTGTATCAATAAAGATTGACTGCCTCAGAAACCCTATTGGGTAGTTCTACTCAGTCCTACAAGTTGGCATAGACTTGATAGCAGTGAGGTTATATGATTGGGGGGATTCCTGGCAAATTTTAAGTGTATGGCCAGCAATGCTCCCTGGACCAGTGCCTTTAACTCCAAGAAGAGAACCAATGAATCTTCACCTTTGTCCTTCATTTCTATGCTTCAGTCGAAGGAGGAAAACCACTCAGTTTGAAGTCTTTCCTCCTCTCTGTATGTGTGTTAATTTCAATAGCTAAGCTATGCTTCTATGACAAGATGAGGATGCCAATACAGAGTTAGGAATAGTTACAATACTGAGTTAGGAACATACACTGAGTCACCTGCACTGAATCACATCAAGTTCTTGGTTGAAGTGTTCTCTTCATAGCCTGCATGTCACATGCTGAGAATGGGTCCTAAAGCTGGAAAGAGAGGGACTCGTCATTTCCCGGTCGCCTGTCACACTTAATCCAGTGCCAGGTGCAGTGGACACAGTCTGGGGCTCCTGAATGCCCAGTGAGTGTGGATCCGTCATGAGAGTAAATAACGGGTTGGCTCACTTGTTTTAAGATAGACTTTCCACCTATATCAACATCATCAGAGCCTATAAGCAAAGGAAACTGTGTGCAAGATCCATGCCTTGCATATTTCTTGGAAATACCAGGTTTAGTCACATTTCTATCTGATAATCCTTGTTGTTGTTGTTGTGAGGTGCTGTTGAGTCGAGTATGACTCATAGCAACCCTATAAACGACAGTTCTGACCCTGTTCCATCCTGTGCCATCCTCATCATCTCTGGCATACTTGAGCTCATTGCTGTAGTCACTGTGTCGATCCAGCTGGTTGAGGGTCTTTCTCTCCTTCACCGTCCCTCTAGTTCCTGAGCATGATGTCCTTCTCTGAGGAAAAGCCTCTCCTAGCTACATGCCCAAAGTATGTCAAACAAAGCTGTACCTCCTTGCCTTTAGGGAGCAACCTGGCTGCACTTTCTCCAAGACATACATGTTCATTTGGTAGTCCAAGGAAATTCAGTGCTCTTCTCCAACACCACAGTTCAAAGGCATCATCTTTAGTCACTGTCCAGCTCTCAGAAGCCTAGCAACTGATTGAAAAGATCATGATCTGAGTCAGGTACAACTTAATCCTCAAACTAAAATCATTGCTTCTCAGTAATTTGAAGAGGTCTTTCTGACTACAGACTTTTCCAGTACAATATGTCTCCTAATCTCCTGACTGCTGATACCAAGTTTATTGATCAATCCTTGCTTAAGAGAGCAAATTATTATAAAGAAACTTAGAGACAACTCAAATGATTGTATTAATTTACAGGTTTTGCTTAGTAAGGATATAACGGTTACATTTTTACCTAAAAGGAAGAGTTTAAAGAAGCTCTTATTCCTATTTTTTTTTTTAAAAAACCCTTTTTTATGATAGAAAATGTCACAAATCTATAAATTGGAAATGAAAAGATGGAAAATCTTCCCATATGCACAATCTAAATGCAATAACTAAGGCAGGCCATATTTTATCCTTACCTTCAACCACCTCATCCCACCAACAATGGACTATTTTCAAGTAAATCTCTGGTATTATATTATTTTATGTGCAAATATTTCAAAGTCAAGGTAAGATTAAAAAAACAAAACAAACCCAAACCCAAACCCACAAAACAAAAAACCAACAAGTAGTTTTGTCTATACTGAACTTTATACACATATATATATTTATATTGAATGTATTCTTTTGTATCTGACTTTTCCCCCATGCAATATAATGTCTATGAGATTAATTAATGTAATTGCCAAATATCAAGAATTCCTTTTTTATTGCTGTGCATTCTACATTAATCAGAAAAGGTATGCCTTTTTAAAAAAAAAACATAATCATAATGGCATTGTTTCTAAACAGACATGAATTTTTTTATATCATTAGCATTTAGGTCCCTCCCACTTCTTTTGAGGTGGTGGATTTTGTTTAGAGTTGGCTTTTGGTTTTTTTTGTATTTAGAGTTTTAAATTAGGGCAAGGAAATATTTCTCATGTTTGTAATATTTCTAATGTTGAAGAGATGGCTTTCTGTCTGTTTGGCGTATACACTAGAGAGTTTTATCTTAGGCATAATCATTTCTTATGTATACACTAGAGAGTTTTATCTTAGGCATAATCATTTCTTATGTATACGTAGGAAGTGACTGTTTTGTTCAATCATATGGATAGGAAGCAGGTTTTACAGGGGTGAGGTGAGCTGAGGGCGTGGGTGCGCCTCCCTCCCTCTACATGAGTCAGGTAAGGCGTGAGTCTGGTAGGACCAGGGGTCTAAGATGTGCCGGTAAGTGACTGTGTGCCTTGCTTGTCCTTGTCTCCTGTTTAGAGTTCTGCACCCTCCCTGGGAAGCACGGTGGCTTTGAGGATGAGATAAGAAAGAGTTATGCCCACCAGGGCGTCGTGAACTGGAGAAAATCTTTCTTTTCTAACTTGAAAGATGGTAAGGATAGGCAATTCAGCGATTTGAGCCAAGGTATTGCTACCATGAGCATGTGACCAAGCACCCTGACAGGTGGTGGGACCCACAGAATCAACATCTCCCCATTTTAGTAAAGGCTCTCGGCCCCCATGGGAAAGAGGGTGGTGCTCCCAGAGTCTCAGTCCACTTAACAAGATTCCCCTTGGGCGGGATCCTAGTGAGACTTAGGTATGCAAAGTGTTGAGTTGTGGGGTGGGGGTGGGGAACATCACTACAACAGTAAACCAACAATCAAGGCCATTGCCATTGATTTCAGCCCCTGGTGACCAACGTGTTACCCAGCTGGATTGCTCCATAATGCTTTCTCAACTGTAATCTTTGCTGAAGCCAATCACCAGGCTTTTCCTCTAAGGTGCCCCTGGCAGTTTTGAATTGGTGACCTTTAGAATAATAGCCAAATGTAAACCGTTTGTGCTGACCGGGGACCTCCACTTTCTCAGTTGGGTAGGGGTGGAAGATTGAGGCTTGAGGGAGCCAGGGGCCTGGCATTTCTCTTTTGTTTTAATCAGAGAAGCTGCTCTGACTACTAAGAATAGTCAGTGACAAGGAAAGAAAACCCAAGTTTTGCATCTGTTTTATTATACTTCAGGCTTCCTTGCCAATACAAGCAGGCTCTTGCCGGAACTGCTCATGGCTCTCCTGGATCTCTCCACGGGGAGAAATTGGTGGTACTTCAGAGTCCAGAGAGGGGACAACGTCAGCTTGGCACTGTCCGACAGCCCTGGCTCTGCATGGAAAGAAGGTAGGGGTGCTCCAGAGTCCAAGAAGGGACAATGTTGGGGACAGCCCTACAGTGTCCTTTATGCCCCTCCATGTCTTGTGTTTTACAAAGTTGTTTTTTTGGGTTTGGGGTTCTTTTCTTTTTTTTTCAATGAGAGGAACGCAATGGGTAGTAAAAGTAGAAGAGAAGCAGAGTTGGGCAAAGAAAAGGAGAAAACATAATGAAGTAAAAGTTCAGGAAAAAGAGGTGGAAACAGCTCCAAATGTACTCTGGCTTGAAGGGTTGGAAGAGTTACTGTCCCCCAAAATCAGGGTGACCAGCTCGCAACTTAGAAGAAGCTTTTGCTTCCGTAACTGAACCAAGGTTAGAAATGGCAATGAAGGGCTGATCTTAGGTAAGGCTTTCCCATCTTAGGAGTCTCTGAGCATTGTAAGCAATCAGTGTGCTGGAGTGCTAGCTGTAGGTTGGAGGCTTGTATCCATACGGGTTGGAAGAAAGGCCTGGCACTCTCCATCCCAGGGGAGATAGGTCACGGTTCTCCTCTGACAGTGTGAGGATCCAGTCCACGGTGTTTCCCCCACCTCCCATCTTGTGCAGGGCCACAGGCCGCTCTTCTGTCTTCCTATTGTTGTTTGCAATCGAGTTGGAACCAACCCACAGCTGACCTTCCAATGCATGAGAAGAGATTGTCCACCCTTCTCCCTCAGAGCAGCTGGGGGATTTGAACCACGTGCTTGTATTTAAAAGTCAGTTGGGCTCAAGGATCTAGTGTTATTTTCTTTTGGAGGAGCATTCTAAGTCGTACAGCACTCCTCTGTCAATTTGCTGCACTAAGGTAATCTGGGTTTGCTGTGATACTGAAACCTTGTGCCACTGGGGGCTCAAATGCCATAATGACTGCCCATGGTGGATAGTATTTGGTGGAGCTCCAGTTTAAGACATGTTTGGAAGCAGGAGTGGCATCCACTTCCTAAACCACATGCCTCTGGAAATGCAATGAACTTGGAGAAACAATGATAGCTATAGAAAAGCTTCAGGCCTTTTGTTCATAGAGTTGCTATGAGTTGTGCTCAACTTGACGGCAATCAACAACAACGACAATAGGTTTTGGGATTGTGGAGAGGTATTTGACCACTAGGCCACCAAAGCTCCCCTCCTAGAGATTGGCAATTATAGACCGTTTTCACCTGCTACTTGGACTATGTGCAGGTTAGAACCCAGCAGCAGTGTCCCTGTACCACAGGGCAGTGAAGAAGGGCTGCCGGTTGTAGCTTTCTGGAATCTTCCTGTAACTCCACCATCTAAGTTGCTCACTTCAGTCAGCCTGTGGGTGGAGTGGGGAGGCCAGGGTTTGTTAGGCGGGAGTTAGAAGCTAGCCTGGCCTTAGTGTCCTTGGACCCCAGACCAACCAAGACAGTGCCATATAAGCTGGAGCTGCCTTAGATCTACTAGTACCACCAATTGCCATCAAGTCAACTCCAGTTCATGATGACCCCAACTCATGGTGTCCCTGCATATGTCCAAGTAGAACTGTGCATCACAGAGTTCTCAATAGCTGCTTTCTTCAGAAGCAGAATGCCAGGCTGGCCTTTTCCCAGACTTCTGTGGGTGGACTCACATCCCCAACCTTGTTCAAGCCTGTTGAACTCACGGCCTCTAGCAGAGACTTTGTTGCTGTTGCTGGTTGCCATCAATGATAGCAATCCCACATGTGCAAAGTAGAACTGCCCCAAAGGACTTTCAAGTCTGTGAGCATCTGGAAGCAGACTGCCAGGCCTGTCTTCCGAGGCACCTCGAGTGAATTCTAACTGCCGCCTTTTTGGCTGGTAGCTGAACACTTCACTACTGTGTATTTATAGAGGTGTTTCCACATATACCAGTTACTGGTGTGTCTGTCCCTGTCTATGGGGCTTTCCACAACTATCTGCTGGTGTTTATCATCCACAAAGATGGTGGTACACTGAGCTATTATACATTTGAAAGCATTGCCTTATCACATTTTCACTTCTCTTTTTTTTTACTTCTCTTTTTTTAAAACCCATTTTTCTTTTCTTTTTTTAATCCTGCTTTATTTTTATTTTTTTTTAAAGATCCATTTTTTTCCTTAATATTATTAGAAGCTTTTTGAATACCTGGGAATTTTTTTATTAGACTTTTTTTAATATCTGGGAGGAAAAAAGTCTTAAAAGAATTACTGGGAGAGGCTCCAAGCCTGTAGACAATGGGAGCCTCTGCAGAGCGGACCTCAGTTTTTTCCCGCAAGGAGCGGTGGAGAGGAAGGGATAAGTAGGTTTGCCACGAGACTTGAGAGGCAGGCCCTTCAAAAAATTGTCCATTAAATGTTAAAAGACAGGAAATTTACAATGAAATAGAAGAAAGGCTATGAAAAGTTATGAATTTTGGAATTTAGATGGCTCGGAAACATCCTAAAATTACTGATTTATGTTTATCAATTCAGCTTGGATGACTTAATTTTGCAGAAAGCATGCTGAAGAGTAGTCTAAAGGACTTTTCTAGAAAAGAATTGATTAGACATAATTAATATTTAGTCAGAGAAAAACACTGAAGCCTGAAATGCAAAACTCTATTTCTCTCCCTCCCTCCCTCCCTCCCTTGCATTTCTCTGGTGGGAATTTGTTGTTTATTGAGAAACAATCTGAGTCCCTCTAAGACTTTGCAGGTGGAAAGTCCATGAGAGACCTGATGACAGTGAGCTATAAAAGCAAGATAAGACAGACTAGCTCTTCTACTTTCACAGATGTTCTGCTCATGGAGAAGGCTTTCCATCCCTTCGTGGAGTTGCTGGAGCCCCAGAAGAAGGCTCTGAATAAAATTCTGCACGCAGTCCTCACGGACAATGAGTTACTCACGGCTGTGGAAGGAGTGGTATGTCAGACACCGCATGAAGCACCTTGGGCTTTCTCAAAACTTAGATGGGCTACACCTCTTGGGATAGGACTCTGAAATTCTATTAACATTATCCTCATCTCCTTTTAACTTTCAACTTTGTTCTCTTTCTCTCTTATTCTCAGTTGCTTGGCTTTCTTACCACAGAAAGGTAGCTAGCATTGGTGCAAGCAATTACTACAAACTTGGTAATTTAACAGACATTTGGACTTTCACGATTCTGTGTGAAATGAAGGTATTGACAGGACCGCGCTCCTTCAGAGGCTCTGCAGGAAGATCTCTCCCTTACACTTCCAAGCTTCTGGTGGCTCCTGTCATTCCTTGGTTTGTGGCAGCATCAGTTCAATCTCTGTCTCTGTCGTCACAGGGCCTTTCTCTTTATGTCTCTCTTCTTTTTCTCTCTCTCAAGGGCTCTCATCATTTGATTTAGGTCCCATCCTAATCCAGGATGAGCTCATGTAGAGAATCTGACCTTATTTATATTTACAAAGGGAGCTCTGGTAGCTTACTGGTGAGAAACTGCACTGCAACCCCAAAAACGTGCGGTTTGAATCTACCAGCTGCTCCATGGGAGAAGGATGGGCAATCTCCTCCCCATGATTAAATTGCCTCTGAAAACCTGCTGGGGTGTCAGCTATGGGTCAGTTTTGACTCAGTGTAACACAATGACAACAAATATCTACAAAGCACTTTCTTCCAAGAAAGAGCTCATACAGAGATTCCACATGAAGATTTCTCTGTTACTCTGTGGATAGATGATAGATAGATAGATAGATAGATAGATAGATAGATAGATAGATAGATAGATAGATAGATAGATAATAGAGATATATATGGAAGGGGAGGGGCTAGACCTTGGAAAAAGACATCATGCTGGGAAAGGTAGAGGGTCAGAGAAAGCAATGTGGTCCCTCTGCAAGATGGATTGACACAGTAACTATAATAATAGGCATGTCAGGATTCATAATGATGGCTCAGGATAGGGCAAGGTTCTATCTATTGTTCACAGGGCTGCTGGGAGTCGTAGTTGACTTGATGGCACCTAGCAACAGCAATAACAACTAAATTTAGTACCGTACAAAAGAGAAATGCAACAGAGTTCAGGTATTTACCTTGTTGTATTTAAACAGAAAATTCAGCCTTTATATTTTTCTGGATTTCAGCACAAAGGTTTCCTGGTGCAGCTGAGCCCCTTAACTGTTAGTCATGAAGAGGGACTCACCAGCTGCCCACCTCCCTGTGCCCACACTTTGTGTTCTTCACTCAAGGAAGCTGAGGCTCCAGGAATTGGACTGACGATGGCTTTGTTTGTCTTTTTGTGCTGCTGTTATGCAGAGGGTTTAAGCACTGATTTAATAATGCCTTTTGATTTTCAGGGAAGCATGCATATTATTTTTTTTTTCTCCTGAAATGAGATTGTGCCAAAAAGAGCTTAGTCACCAGCCCTGAACCTGTAGTGTTTGACATGGTCCAACAACTCCGTGTGTTCTGGTGGACTTGGAGTCAGAGGGGTGCCTGGCGAGCCCTGGGGAGACACACATGCTTCCAAAGCCCATCAAATCCTACTTCTAAAAATAGCTCCATCTGAGAGGAAAATGTCAGGCCAGCACCTTGTGGAAAGAGCACCAGTTACTCTTTCAGATGTGGAGAAGCAGGCTGGTGGGATGGGGTCAGACAGGTGGCTTTACAGTGGAGGATCTGGGTGAAGTGGCTCAGGAGGGGTGGAATGTGTGAGTGGTGCTAGGAAGGTTGGGAAGCCACAGCTGTTCTCTGTGGGAGACTGTGCAAGGCCTGGTTGGGAGCATTCTTGGGACCCAAAATGCTACCCTGAAAGAGCATCTCTGTCTTAGTTTCTGGGTGCTGCTGTAACAGAACTACCATAAGTGGTTGGTCTTTAAGAACAGAAACTCATTTTCTTATCATTCAGGGGCCAGAAGTCTTACCTTGGGTCTCTAAAGGTTCTTTCCCTGTCAGCTTCTCCAACCTGTCTCAATGTCCGTGACTCTCACTCCCTGGATCCTTGAAGATCTCCACCGGGTATCTCACTTCCCTTCATTTGTGCTTGCTTGTTACTGTTTATGCTGCTATGGCCTCATTGAAATAACAAAGTGCTGGTCCCTACTGGGATTTCCTGCCCTGGCACAGGATCCCAGCATATATTCTGAGGACACAGTCCAATCCATTACAGCCATGATGGTTGTTTATATTCCATTCTCTGCATGAGTCTGGACCAACTCCCTGACAGTCGACCACCACCTCATGTTCTGCATGTGATCCCTTGTACCTACTTCCTACAATGCCCCAATATTCAACCCTATTCTGAAGGTTCTTCCCAATAGTCCCTGCATGCCTCCTCCTCCCTGCTGGGCCAGGCTTAATTGATTTACTATCTATAATTTGTTCAAAAAGGAGTGATTTCAAGAGCTCAAGTCTTCTTTCCTTGTTATTAGATGCCCTCTTGTCAATTCTAATTCATAGTAACTTCAGGTGACAGAATTAAATGAACCCTGCATGATTTTCCTAGACTGAGCCCTGGTGACATTAGGGTACCATACAGGGCTGCTAACTGAGAGGTCTGTGGTTTGAATCCATCAGCTGCTCCAAAGGTAGAAAGGTGAGCAGTCTCCTTTTGTAAAGATTTAAAGTCTCAAAAACAGGATGGAGATTTTCTATGCATCAGCAGCGGTTTAGGGTGGGTTTGGAGGCTTAACCAGAGCAGATTGACAGGTTCCCCCCCGCCCCATGGAGCCAATGGGTGGGTTCAAAACACAAGCCTTTAGTCAGTTGCCAAGCACTTAACCATTGTGCCCCCCCTTGGTAGTGATGATGGCAGTGGGTGGGTGTGTGGAGGGGGGTGCACTTCACCTTGTATGGAGGTTCACAGTCTGCTGCCCTCTTCCCTCCCTATTGCAGCTTGGTGAAATGGCCAGTAACTTCTTGCCCCCGCCGCCGGCAGTGATAGAGAAGCTGAAGCCCCCACAGCAGCAGCACCTCAAGACTTTGCTGCAGCTGGTGGGTTGCAGCCTGAAGGAGGGGCGCCCGGAGCAGGAGGAGGCCCTCCGCCAGCAGAAGCTCTTTTCAGCAGTCCACTTGTTGGTCAGCGCACTGGCAGGTATGCAAAAAAGGCGAGGCAGGGAATGGCTGCGGAGGCTTGGAAATCGCTTTGCTTACTGTGCAGGCTTCCGGGAATACGGAAATAATCGTAATTGTGGGACATTTGGTACATATCGTTCCTTCCCTCAGCAGCACGGGGGACACTGACTGAGTGGTAGGCTGAGGAGGGTTATGTACTTACCAGGAAAAAGAAAAGACTTTGGCGTGAAGGAGGCCTTTCTGCCCACCCTGAGCCTCCTCCACCATCCCGGGAGTGCTTGTTCCCCATCACTGAAGGGGTTCTCTCGGGCACACCCCCTCACCCACACAGGAAATAACCTTCAGAATACAGGCTGTGATTCACACGTGCCACCTGGTGAGCTGGTGGCAGCAGCATTCCTCTGTGTCACTTGATCCCCAGGGATTCTCTCCTCTGCAAATTTACCTACTCGCCCCACACTACAGTGCAGTCACCCTCCACAACTTCACTCCAGTGACAAAATTCCCCCCATGCTGGGCAGTCATGTGCTCCTTCCCTCCCACCTGGCTGCCCCAGCCCCAGAGCTCACCTCACCTGAGCCTGTGGCATCAGGAGGTGGTCATGTCCCTGTGAGGAAGCTAGGATTTCACTTTCTTCTCAGGAAAGTAAAGCTGTGAAGAAGGAGCTCTCAGGCCGCGCAGGTGGCAGGAGTCAGGGCACTAGGCTCCAGAGGTATTCAGGGTCCTTCCCAGCACCTCAGCTGAGAGTACCTTTTGGGTTTTAAAGGATTGTTCAGAGAATGTCTCCCTCAGCTTTGTAACTTGGTGAACATGTGTACTTCTCTTGTGCCACTGTCAGGAGTGAATGTTTTGACTGGTTGACTGGGACAGAACATGAGACAGTGCCTGGTGGAACTTCACTGGTTCAGGTATTCTGCCAGGCATGAATCCACAGGTCTGATTCTCCATCTTCTAAGAAGCCTTTCCCCATCATCCGTTGAGCATTTAAACATTTTGAGCAGTCGTCTGAATCAGTGGTGTCAGATAAGTAGCACAAGCTGCAAATCCACCCCATCTATTCCTCTGAGCTGAATGGCCTCATGGCCTCTACAGCCTCACAGATGATCTCTGTCACTGACATCTAAAAATCAAACATGTTTGCTGTTTCCAATCTGGAAGCACAGGGATTGTGTGATCTTTAAATGCAGCTGAAAACCTCTGTAGCCGATTTCTACACCAAAGCTGCCCTTTCCTGGTGCTCTGAACAGTCAGGTCCTTTCACGTACATGGAGGTCACACAGACACCCACTCTGGCTACACATCGCCCCTCTGTGCCCTCAGGAGCCCTCGGTTCTTCTGGGTTGAACTTTGCTGCCACGACGACGAGGCCCCCAGGCCTCTTAGAATCTGGGGAAGATGCTGGCTCAGAAAATGGACTCTTCTCGGGTCTTCTTTCCGAGTTTCTAATTAACCACAACAGCTTTATCTGGTCAAGTGCTTCAGCCCCAGCACCTGACCTTACACACACACACACACACACACACACACACACACACACACACACGCGCGCGCGCGTGCGAAGCCTGCTCCACCACTTTGTGAGCAGGTGCGAGTCATGAACTCTCAAAGCCTCATTTGTAAATGAGAAGCAACACATGGAATCACTCATTTCTGTTCACACTCCACTGCGGGAGCCTAGACTGGATTTGGAGGAGTTTCGGTGCAGTGGTTAAAACACTCAGCTGCTAGCCAGAGGATCAGTGGTTTGAACCTCGCAGCGCCTCAGTGAGACAGCGATGTGGCGGTTTGCTTCTGTAAATGTGCAGCCTTGGAAACTCTGTGGGATAGATATGCACATGACAGCAGTGGATGTTTATGGGGTTTGAGGCCCTGCGAGGCTCTGAGGACATACATCCAGTTCTTGCCCTCAAGAAAATCAGGACTGAGTGGTTTGTTGCTTTTATGTACCATCAACTGAGAACTAACTCTCAGCTGATCCTCTAGCAGGTTGCCAGAGGCAATAAATCACACTGGAGGAGATTGCCCATCTTTTCCTGGAGGAGTCGCTGGTGCATTTTTATCGTTGTTGTGGTGGTGGTGTACTGTTGAATCAGATCCGACTGGCACAGGAGATTTCCCCTCCTTCTCCAACAGAACATCTAGTGGATTCGAACTGTGTGCCTTTGTGATTGCAGCACAGCTTCTTGCCACTAGGCCACCAGAGCTCCCTTCGCTGGTGTATTTGAACCAGGTGTCTTTGGGTTGGTTGGTAGTAATGCTTCTTACCAGTAAGCCTCCAGTACTCCGTAGTTGAGTGGTTGTTGTTGTAGTTGATTGCTGTCAAGTCGAGCATGATTTATAGTGACCCTTTGAACAAAAGGCCTGAAGCCTTTTCTATAACTATCGTCATTTATCAAAGTTCATAGAGTTTAGGAAGTGGATGTTTAGGAAATGGATGCCACTCTAGCTTCCAGGGTTAAGTGGCAGCATTAGATAATAAGCTCTTTTTCGGGAAGGCTGTCTTTTTAATCCATAGCCTAAGCACCTGGCACTGTACCTACGATAAAAACAAAACCCAGCCAGTTACTATGAAGTCGGTTAGAGCTCATGAGGAAGCTGGCCTTCAGTTCCTCCTGCGTGTCAGACTAGAGCTGTGCTCTGAGAGTTTTCAATGGCTGATTTTTCCCAAATAGACTCCTAGGTCTTTCTGAATGGATTTGAACCTCCAACCTTTTGGTTAGCAGGCAGGCTTTTAACCATTTCCACCACCCATGGACCCCATACATTCTCTAGTGAGTGAGGATTAACTGAGTAACGTGGATTAGGGATTGTGATGATTACACAGAACTTGGGAGCCCTCTGAAGGGTGAGGGTGTTATCGGGCAACCAGTGCCCTAGCTTGCCCTTCTTACACAGGCAAAAGAATTGTACCCCATGGAAGAGACTAGAGAAGCAATGGTATTCAAGCAGCAAGGTAGTACAGTGGACAGCAATCTTAATGTTGCTTGGCAGAGAAGACTTTCGTGTTTGGAGCCAAAGTGTAGGCCAAAGCTTTTTATTAGAGCATAGCGAAGAGAAGAAAAAGACAAGGAGATGATGAGGGTAAAATAGTAAGGACAATTTATTAGAAAGTTACATCACCAAAGGAACAGACCTCCCTCCTGGAAAGGAGACATGGAATGAAGGCCCCTTATCCAAGAGGTGAGGCTCTATTTATGGCCTCCTTTACTGGGTGGGCCTTGGGGCTGGAGCCTAAGCCAGTGAAGGCCAATGAGCCATGGAGAGTTCAAAGCTTAGTGCGTCTCTGATGTCATTTATGTGTCTTAAGTGTCCACTTCTTCTGACATCACTCATGCATCATAGTTTCTCTGTATGTCGGTATCTGCTTCCTGGCTATAATATCACTCTTGCCTCCTCCCTAGCATTGGTTCTAATCCTAAGCAGCCGACAGGTGCACAGATAGGTGAAGTGCCTCTCAGTGGCTCAGCCAGGACTTCACACCTCAGATGACTGTCGACACCAGGCTATTAGAGACTTTCCATCTTTTATGCCTGGTTTGGGGTTGTGCCAGAGAATTTGTTGAAAACTGTGGACCTCCTCTGTCCGAAAATGCACATATAACATTTGAATGTAATTTTAGGGTGCTCTTTGGCAAGGTTATCCCCATCTTCCTGGCAGCCTGCACCCTCTCTTGGGAACAAGCCACCATCCGTTCATAGAACTCTGCTGGGTCATAGCCTCAGTCGCTGGCTGCTTCCTTTTATAAATAAGATTGCTAATGAATGCAGGAGGCTTTGTGAGTTCCTGAGCAGTCCCAGGGCCAAATGACTCAGCAGTTGACTCCTTTTCTCTTTAGCCTTTTGAAGCTCAAAGGGTGACTTATTGATACCCGCCAAGGGAATTGGGGTCCTTTTAGGAATTGCTTCTGATTTACCCCATTTTGAATAACACTGACCTGCATTTCCCTCCCCTGTGGCTCAGCAGCACCTCACACAGCCCAGGTGCCACGTCCCTCTGCACTGAGGTAGATGGTGGTGGCCCAGGGCTCTGGGACTGTCCTGGCTCAGGAGTTCTGTTGTGCCACACCATTGGTCAGGCATTTTCCTCCCCAAAGGATGGGTAGCATTGATAGAACCATTTATTGTTTATATAATGCACTGGCATTTAAAAAAAAACACAACAAACCAACAAAACCCATGAGAAATCAAATAAGGAAACTGAGGCTCAGAGATCTGTACTTGATCACACATTTAATGTATAACAACATTACAGCTCATTGCTATTGAATGGGAACCAACTCATAGCCGATCCTTTAACGGGGTTTCAGCCTATAAATCACATGGGAGGAGACTGTCCATCTTTCTCTCTCTGAGTAGCTGGTGAACTTGAACTACCTGTCTTTTGAGTTGACAGCACAACCCCTTTATCCACTTAGCCACCAGAGTTCCCTCTAATATATTGTTGTATACCATTGAGTTGGAACTGATCTGTAGACGACCCTCCGGTGGGTTTTCAGAGGCAGTAAATCACATGGGAGGAGATCGCTCATCCTCCTACCACAGAGCAGTAGGTGGATTTGAACCTTTGGGATTGCAGCGCAGTTTTTTGACACTAAGCCACTAGAACTCTCTCCAATATCAAGTGAGATTTAAACATAGATCCTTGGATCCAACCCTCAAGGTTCAGGACTTTTCCATTTTCTCACATGGATTTTCCTGCCCCTGAACCTGTCCAGTTTGCAGCTGGCACACTGAATATTGTTAGATAGAAAAAAGAGTTGAAAGAGAGAAGGAAGTTGGTCCCAAGTAACAAACAGGTCTTTACTAAGTGGACTTGAGAGGGACGCTGAATGACTGCATGCAGTGATTAGAATGGCGTGTGGACAGACAAAAGCAGTTTCTTTTTATTGAGGCTGTTAAGGAGATTTAGAGGGGATGGTCCTTTGCTCAGGAATTTGGGGGCAAGGGTCCTGCCAGTAGGTGATATAAGGCTCAGCTCTGGGCCTTATCAGGCAGGATCTGATCATCTAGTCACCTTCTCAGGATGTGGTCAAGCCTTCTGGAGCCAGGGGGACCTGCAACATTCTTCTTCCAGATGTGAAGGAACTGGATACTAGGCTGCTGGTGTCCAAAGGCCTTAGCTGCCTATTTAGCTCATTCATTCATTCATTATTTATTGAGCACATGCTCCGTCAGGCTGGGGCAAAGAACTAATCCATAGATTAGGTGTAATCCTACGGTGGGCTCTATTCCTAGGCACTTGTTGTTTTAAATGACTATGATTTCTATCCCCTGCAGAAATCCCAGTCGGCGCAATCAGTCTGCTGGACACTTGCTGGAAGCTCCAGATTGTTCCCACACTGTGCCACGTGGTAAGAATCTTCCAGATGGGTGTGGGCAGGAGCGGGGCAGTGAGGAGGCTGAGGCCTGCCCACTGACAGACACGGTGAGGCTTTCCCACCCTGACAGCACTTCCCGATAAACTCACAGCTATCAAATAGATTCCAACTCTTAGAGACCCCACAGGGCATAGTAGGAAAAGAAAAATTTTAAAAAAGCAAACGTCTCCCTTAATTTTTTTTTTAATATTACTTATCTGTAAGTATGACTTGTCTTAAACAGATTACTTTCTTGCTTTCTGCCGTTGAATTGATTATGACTCTTAGCGACCCTGGATAAGAAGAGACCTGTCCCACAGGATTCCCTAAAACTGGGAGTCTTTATGGAAGCAGAATGCCACACATCTTTCTCCCACAGATTAGCTCATGGGTTTGAACCACAGACCTTTCAGTTAGCAGTTGAGGACATAGTCAGTGAGCCATCAGAGTTTCTTCCTCTTAAAAATCACTTTTAAAAAACCCAAGTTGGTTGTCTTTCTTTGATGTTAGCGAATTGGGACTTCGTGTGGCATAGAGCAGGGAACATAGGGTTTTCTTGGTGTGACCTTTGAGGGAATAGATCAGCAGATCTTTCTTCCATGGAGTTGCTGCGTTGTTTTGAACCATCAATCTTCAGTTTATCAGTCAATCGCAAATCACTTGTGCTATCCAGGCTCCTTGGAAATAAGCTAAACAGTTAGGAATATTAACCCTGCTTGGACACACACATACACACACCTGCACACACATGCCCCAGAGACTGAGGTCCAGAGAGAAAGACTTTGAGAGTGTGTTAAACAGCCAGGACTTCATGTTCCAAATCCCGTGTTTCCCCATAGTTTGGAAAGACTCATGACCAAGGAAAGTCTTGTAACATTTGCAAGGAAGGGATTTGGCACCACATTCTCAGCAATAACAGTTCAGGGTAGAGACCAGTCTGATTCTACTATGCATGAAATTCACAAAGAGACCCGATCAGCATTTTTCATTCTCTGCTAAAAGTATCATTAGCTTAGTGCCCTCGGGAAATGCCATCACAAGATCGAGAGTTAGTGATGAGCTTAGCTCCAGAGGGTCAAGGTTAAGTTTTCCTTTTTAAGTTACAAATTGGGTGATTAATAAAAAGAATCTTCTGGAGGGTGCCCTGAGATCACTCATCAATTTAAGATCCAGTGATTAAGAGCCCAGGAACACGGCTCCTGGCTCTGTGCTCAGACCTGCAAAGCGGCTACCCTTGTTGGTTTCACATGTACTAGGGTAGAGCTGTGCTCCACACGGTGTTCTGTGGCTGATAGTTGGAGAAGTAGATCACCAGGTCTTTCTTCCGAGGTGCCTGGATGGACTTGGGTTTCTAACCTTTCAGTTAGCCATTGACCATGCTCACTGTTTGTACCACCCAGGAACACCAGATGACACTGACAAGGCCCTAGAATTTATTATGCATTTCCTGTGGGCACCTTGAAGGAGCTCTGGTGGCATAATCCATAGGAAGTTGTGCCACTAACGCAAAGGCCACACCTCTCTGATGGTTCAAATCCACCAGGGGCTCTGAGCTAAAAAGATGGGTGCTCTCCTTCTGTGCCACTTAAAGCCTTGGAACAGCCCCCCAAGTCAGCTGTCACTTGATGCCAACTTAAGAGTAGAGATAGAAAGGGAGAGGGAGAGAGGGCACATTGAACACTGGTTGGTGCCACTGGTACTCCCTGTGTGGCAGGGAGCGTGGAAGGGAGCCACCTGGAAGAGTGGATGCCAGGCAGCAAGGCATCATTCCAGGGAGCGGTTTAAACATCACTCACCACTGAAACCAGATTCCTCCGGCCCAAAGGAGTGCTGCTTGCTTTGCTTTCTTGTTCACTGAGCTCAACAGCTTGAAAACGATGTCAGTGTCTGCGCTCTGCTGCTGCCTGAGGGTGAATGGTGGTGGCTTCCTCCTTGTGGAAACAATACGGATCATTAGCCTAATTGCATGTCTTGATGAGCAAGACCACAGCTCTGCTTCTCCTGTCCAGACTTTGCAGCTGCTGAGTGCTCAGCATTTACCATGCATTCAGAGTCTTCAAGTGCATCGGGAAATGTACAAAGTGAGCACGCTTCCAAAGCGGCTGACCTCCCCCAGCACTCTCACATTTGGTTGTCATCTTCCTGCTCATCAGCAGCAGCTCTGTGATTTTATCTTTGTGTTGCCTCTAAATTTTGCGTTAGTTGGAGTTCAAAGGTGAGCCAGGAAAGCATACTCAGAGTTCGAATCCACCAGCAGGTGGCCAGGTTGCTGAGAGAGAGGGGCAGGGTGGGGGGTGGGTGAGAAAGAGACAGACACAGATAGAGACAGCGATGTTAACAGAAAGGTTGGTAGTTTGAGCCCACCCCGAGGTTGCTTGAAATAAGGCCTGGTGATCTGCTTCCTGAAGTCCCAGCCTTGACAGCTGTGTGAAACAGCTGTACTCCACGCACATGCTGCTGCAGGTTGGAGTTGCCTCAGTGGCAAGTGGTTTATATTCCCACCTAGCGATAGTTGGTGCTTCACACCAGCGAACGAGATTTCTTTTTTAGTTACTTTTTATTATGACTTGAGTGAAAGTTACAGAGCAAACTTATTTTCCATCCAGCAATTCATACACATTGTTTTATGACGTCGATGGCAGTCACTGCATTGTCACATCATCTTCCCACTTCCTCCCAGTGTATCTTGCCTCCATTTTTCCTTCCTTCTTATCGCTTCCTGCCTTCTGAGCTTTGTGTGTTGTTGTGTACCATTGAGTCGGAATCAACCTGTAGCTAACCCTCCAAGGGGAGTTTCCAAAGCAGTAAATCAGGTTATCACAGGTACTGGAGTTGATTATTGCCCCTCATTCTCCCAGGAGCAGCATAGCCCTGGGCAAATGTTGCCTTTTTATCTTGTGTGGTTGAGTGGGCCTGAGGTGTGCATGCCTCTCTGTCCACCTGTCTATGGTTTGGCTCAGAGCTGAGTGACAGTGATTTCAAGTGCATGCTTGAGGGTGAATAGAGGCCTTAGTCTTGGGTTCCTCCAGGTTCTGTCAGATCAATAAGCCTGGTCAGAAAGAACATCCTTAAAGACCTGCCTGGTATCTGCATGTAATCTTCCATCAGATACTGTTAACAGCTCTTCTCAAGGCTGGGAGGAGGATCTTTCTTCCTGGAGGGACTTGATTATCAACTGTTACATGGAGATTGACTTAGAACAGGGCACAAAATCTACCTCCATTCTCCTCTTGTCTGGTGGTCAGAGTAACATTGAAGGAGGGTTGTTTTTTTTTTTAAGGCCTTTTGGTAAAACTGTCACATACAGCATCACCCCTGACAAGGTGAGTTAACATCATCAGTGGTGTCAATCTCAGTGCCACCAGGCTGATTCCTCCTCATGGGGACTCCATGTGGCAGAGCAGAGCTGCCTCATGGGAGTTTTGTGGCTGTAGCCTTTACGGAAGTAGATTGCCAGATTTTCCCACAAATCTGCTGGCTGGTTTTGAGCTGGGCCAGTTGTTCAGTTAGCAGCTGAGCACTTAACCACTGTACCACCATGGCTGCTTCAATCTTCCTTCCAAACCAGATCTCAGTGCCCTCATGTTGAGGCTGAGTCTTAGGGACCATCCATCACATTTCCATGGCTGTGAATCTTTTTGGGAGGAGACTGTCCATCTTTCTCCCTTGGAGTAGCTGGTGGATTCAGACTGCAGACCTTTTGGTTAGCAACCTGCTATGTTACATCTATGCTACCAGAGCTCCCTTCAGGTTACCAGAAGTGCCAAAAGAGGCTGTAGGCACAAGGGGCTGTCAGATGGTTAGAGAAAGAATATTTAGATGATGCTGGGTACATCCCAGCGAGACTGTGGAGATGCCAACCATGCTTCTGTGCCAGCGGAGCTCATTCTGCCATCATCACCAGGACGTGAACTCTGCTTATGAAGCAGCCTGATCTCCCTTCTACAGCACAGTCGTGGTTTACAGGTGGAGCCAAATGGTGATGGCTGAGCCTGTGGTTATGCTGCGAGCTGTAGTTGGTAAATGTGTGAGGTATGGATTCAAAGCCTGGCTTTGACTCACAGATACACAAGCACTTTTCTGAGTGCTCCTTGAGTCACCTGGGCAAGGTGTATATTACTTCCTGAAGGTCTGTCATAGCTCGGATCATTGCTGAAGTTCTTCTTTTGGAATTTCCTTCAAACCTAGTTAATATTCATCCATGTTTTGTAGGCATACTTTGCTGCTCATTTTTTAAAACTTTTTATTATAATTTAGGTGAAAGTTTACAGAATAGTCGGTTTTCCATTCAACAATTCATATACTCTTTAATCCATGCCATTGACTGCAATCCCTTCATTGAAACAACACTCTTCCCTCCTTGTCCCTGTGTTTCTCATTTCCACGCATCATTTCGCACTCCTTCCTGCCTCCTGGACTTTTCAATATAGGTCATATCATTTGTTCTCAATGGCTTTTACAAGATCAAATCTGCTAAACTTGTATTTACTGAAGAATGTTGTGGTAGTGGTTGTATGTGGTCAAGTTGGAACTGACTCCTAGCTGACCCTTCAGCAGGTTGTCAGGGGAGTTGTGCTGCTAACCCAAAGGTACACAGTTCAAAGCTACCAGCTGCTCTGTGGGAGACAGATGGGCCATCTCCTGCCATATGATTTGTAGACTCTGAAACATGCTGGAGGGCAGCTATGAGTCAGTTCCAACTCTGTAGTACATAACAAACATATGGTACCTACATTTGAAAAGTCCATTATAGGAGATTTCAAATATGGCCATTAAAATTTTAAAAAGAAAGAAATCCTACTTTCCCCTTGGTACCACCCTGGCCCTTCTGCTGTGCTAGAGTTATTGGCTTCAGTCAAAAAGTTAGAGGGTAGAGGTCCCATTTCTTTCCTTTGTTACCTTTTCCATTCATAAATGAGGAGAACTCTAGGTAAGTGGGGTAAAATCAAGGTGAGCCCTCGATCTGGGTCAAGGTCTTTCTACATCTCATCACACATCTTATGGATTTTTCCTGATGTTACAGGGAGATTGAAACTATTTTTGGTTTTGTCAGGATTCTCCCCCCCTTTTTTTTGCATAACTGTCCAACTACGTGGATTTTTTAAACGTTTTTTTTTTTAAATGAACTCATCTAAATGTGTAATTTCAGCTCCGCACCATGACTGATGATGGGTTGTCTGATCTTGAAGACCCAACCTTGGCTCCTCTGAAGGATGCAGAAAACTTTAAGATTGTGCAGCGTCTGTTTGGCCTGGCTCACATCACGCTGGAGAAACTGCCATCGTCTGTGCACATCGTCATGCCGAAGGAGCGCCGCGATTCCCCCCTGAGTCTCTGCCGCACCCTCAGTGGGCTGTGCGCTTTAGGCAGCCCCCAAAAGTAATGCCATAATACCTCACTGTTGTTACTGCTATCGAGTCAACTCATAGCAATCCTGTGAAGAGAAGACCTGAACCTTGTCCTCCCCATGCCAGCCCTGCCGTATACTTGTGCCTGATATACTTGTGCCCAAAGTTTGTGAGGTGGAGCTTAGCTATGCTCGCTTTCAAGGAGCGCCCTGGTTGCATTTCATTTGAAACATATTTATTTGTTCTCTTGGCGCTCCATAGGATAATCTGGTGTTGGAAAAGAGTTCAAATATCCCGTGACTATATATCTTGTCTTGAAAAAGGCATTTGGTCGCCTGTCTAGGACAGCTTTTCAGTCTGGGAAGATGAGTGGAGCCAGCCAGATTCTGCAAAAGTGTGCTTTCTGGGTGTGGCATGCTTGCTCTCACTTGGGTGTGAGTGAATTGGATTTGGCCTCATCTCTAAAAAGGCATATGGGCCCTCAGGCCTGCGACCCTTCGGCCTGGTTTTAATTGTTTTCAATCAAACATTCTTCTAAGTAGTATAGCACTGGTCTGTCCATTTGCTGTACAGAGGTGATTGTTCTGATGCTGAACACTGTGACACTGATGTGTCGTATGTGACAACAGTTACCCATGGTGGACAGTGTTTGGTGGAGCTTCCCGATTAAAACAAGCTTGGAAGCAGGAGTGGCATCCACTTCCAAAATAGCTTGCCTCTGGAAACCTTATGAACTTGGAGAAACGATGAAAGTTATACAAGTGTTCAGGTCTTTCCTTCATAGGGTCACTATGAGTTGTCTACAACTCAACAGCACTTAAAATAACAACAACCTATGTACCGTACCTCATATAATAATACATTAGCAATACATATTTATTAAACTTGGGTGTTTTTCCTACAATCATGAAGATGCTACTTTGCAATAGCAAATTCAGTTATTTATTAAAAGTTGATTGATGAAATGTATTTAAAATGGTTTAATAAGCGGTACACTGTGAATGACCTCAATTTTAACACTAGGGGCTTTTAAACAGCTCTTCTTTCCCATTGCTGCTGGTGACTCAATGTCTAAGTTAAATTTCAGCGTCCGAAGGACAAACCAGACACTGTCCAGAGAGTTTCCACTCGTGACAGCTCCATGTCTGAGCACAATGGTGCTGAATAGCCTTTCTCTCAAGTGCCTGATATTGGGAGTATCTGTCATGCCTTTCATTCAAAGTGCCTCTGGGTAGAGTCAAACCTCCAACCTTCTGGTTATCTGACAAATGCACTAATCATTTCCTAAAGAGCCCAAGGTAATAGAAAATCAAAGGAGGACTGAGAATACTCAGCTAAGGTTTAGTCAGATTTTTCTTTCCCCTGAATAAATGGAAAAACACATTTTAAGATTTTCTACTTGCTGTTATACAAAACTTTGTAACAGCATTTTAACATGTATAATGCCAAGGAGACTTGACACTTGGATCTAAAGATTCATTTTATATCGTGATTGCTCTAAGAGGGTAATTTATCCTCTTGGAAGAATGATTTAACGTCTATGCTATATAGGGATTGAAAAATAAAGTAGAAAAGTCATCAGAGTACAGGTATTACTCTACTAAATAAGATTATCCTGGGGGGAAATTCTAGTAGCAAGCCACTGTAGCTCAGGGTTCTGGGTGAATGCATTTATTTTACCTCACTGTTCTTTGAAAGAGGAACCCTAGTGGTGCAGTGGTTAAACACTTAGCTGCTAATTGAAAAGTCTACAGTTCGATCCCACCAGACAGTGGGAGAGGAATGAAGCTGTTTGCCCTGGAAATGCTGTGAGGCTCTGTCCTATGTCCACAGGTCAGAGTTGGCAACACTTTTTAAAATTCTTTGATGAATGTACTACTGCTGTATTGACAATATATTCATTTGCTAATACATTCTGGGAACTTGTTGTTGTTAAGTGCTTTCGAGTCGCAGGTGACTCATAGCTAACATAAGATATTAAAGGACACTTTGAACTGTCTGCATTTGATTTTTATTCTGTTTTGGCATTCTGCCTGGACCATTGCCATGGTGCCCCTGATCCCATTGGCAGGATCTGCTAATGCCCTTCAGGACCTGAAGCCACATCCTTCCCTTAGTTAAAAGTAGTGAGGAATTGGACAATGAAAGAATTTTTTTTCCCCCAAAGAAAAAAGTGAACTGGAGGGTGAAGGGGGAGGGGGGCGATGGGCAGGGAGGAAAATGTGCAACAATGAATGAATGAAAATCCAAGTTCTCTAAAAACTTTCATTAAAATATCAATTAAAAAAAAAGGAGTGAGGACCTGGAGTTAAAATTTGCTCCATTTGGTGATGAGGAGGCAGTGTGGGCAGGAGGTGTTGTTGGACAAGACGTAGGTCACCTCTGCACTGTCCACGTGCTCCTTCCTGCCCTTCGATGGCCAGGAAGCGATGAAGCTGCCAACCCTTTCCTCACCTCCATTAAAGATGACACTCTCTGTTAAGGTTGGTGGAGATTTTAGAAATGCACAGTGCTGACCGCATGTTCACCGAGTGTTCTAAGAAAAGGATGTTGAAATAGCAAATGTTTTGTTGTATACACACATGCGTACATATATGTTATTGTTATGTGCTGTCAAGCAGGTGACCCTCCAGCAGGTTTTCTGAGGCTGGGAATTGCACAGGAGAGAGGACTAGCCCCTCCCCCTTTCCACAGAGCAGTCAGTGGTTTCAAACCTCATACCTTTGGGTTGGCAGCACAACTCCTTACCACTAGATCACCAGAGCTTGTCTCTGTATATCACAATATGTGTGTAAGTCCCTAAAAAAAGGACACAAAGTTATACATTTCATTGGCAATTGTATACAAAGAAGTACTGTATGCCCCAAGATTGGAAATGAACACGTAAACATGACGACAATTGTGATAGGATGGTGGCACTGGAACTGTCTTTTTGTCTGTTTTCCTGAAATAAGAATAAAAAAAACCCTTCAACTCTAATGTGTAATGTGAATATCCTTTGTTTTTATATGTTAAAAAAATCTAGAATGACACATTTATTGACAAATGAGGATAATATGTTTTTCCTTTCATTACCAAATTATTGGTTTGGTTATATGATTTTGGGGTTTTGATAATGGGATGCAAGCTAAATCACTGAGAATTTCTTAAAAATGTCATAAAGTGTGTGGGATTTTGATAAATATTATGTGGGACTCATATATCCCATTGGGTTCTGATGGTAGGATAAGTGGATAAGTCATGGGAGCAAATATTTACCTTCCTACCTGATCTCTAGAATTACACCTTCTCAGTAACACACAGTGACTAGTAGATATGCTTACAAGCCTTAGCTCATTATACAGAAGCCCAGAGAGACAAAAGCTTTCTACTGTCCTCCAGGACACATCGTAACCATTCAGCAAGGCAATATGTCACTGAGGGACTTCCCTGTTTATACAAGAGCCAGCACCTAGAGATGGGGCAGAGCCACATTGGAACCCCAGGGGTGGATGATGTAGTTGGCCCTTCTATAAACCATGGGCTATCTCAGTTAAGAGCTCACGTGCAACATAGCAGTGGTTACTCTGGGTTAGAAAGAGAGTAAAGGCCAGAGGGGGTACATTTTACTCTTTTCTTCCAATTGAGTGTAATATGCATCATCCTCTAAATGAAACAAAACCTATAGGCTTCAGGGAGAAAGAAAAGGCACTATTCTAGCTACTGAGGGAGGTTCAGGTCATTTTTAACAGGCAAAAACAACAAGAGTTTGGCTACTTCATATTGGCCTAAGACGAGATGTCTCAAGTTGTCATGCTGATTTGTATTTTAAAAATCCGCTGTTGACCAGGTGTAGCTCAGTTCCTGGCTCTCAGTCACTGCTGGGCTTAGCAGACACCTAGTGGGCTGTGGTGCCTGTGGTCGTGCTGGGGGTGAGACAGGGGCTCCAAAAGGTTTCTTTCTTCAACCATCACTTTTAACTTCGAGCATTTCATTCCTGAAAACAGACCACGCCTGGTCCATAAATGGACAGCAGGGACTATCAGTCATGGCATTAGTGTCTGTGATGGGCCCAAGAATGCCCCTCAAAGATGTTTATGTCCCAATCCCCAGTCCTGTGAATGTTATAGGCAAAATAGGATTCTGCAGATGTTTTCAAGGTTATGGAGATTTTTCTCTTAGTAGAAGGTGGTGGTTGTTGTCATCGAGTGAGATCCGACCCATAGTTGACCCTCTAGAGGATTTTCAGAAACAGTAAATCACAAGGGAGGAGACTATGCAGCCTTTTGCTGAGAAGCTGGTTGATTTGAACTGCGTGCCTTTGGGATTGCAGCACAGTTTCTTACCACTAGGCCACCAGAGCCCCCTTAGGAGAAGGTGGGTGGAAGAATGAGAGAGATGTGGTCTAAGGGAAGGAAGACAGGACAGAGATGTGGCAAGGGTCCCACCCATTGGTCTTGGTCTTGAATATGAGGGCACCATGTGCCAAGGAACGTGGGCAGCCAGTGTGATGTGCAAACCCTCCTTAGCCAGCAAGGAAAGGGCTATGTCAGTCAGTCCTCCCACCACAGGACTGGATTCTGACAACAGCCTACATGAGCCAGAATCTCCCCCAGGCCTCCAGTTAAGCACTCAGGCAGCCCCTGGGTCCTTACCAGGGAGAACTGTGTCAGATTTGTGACCAACAGGACTGTCAGAATAGACATACGTGTTGAAATATACTACTGCAGAAAAAATGAGACTAGTATTTAAAATGGAAGAATGACATTTAAAAAACCCCCAGAAATAAACAGCACTAGCATTTTCTGAAGCACGAGACATGGATCTTGGAAACCATCTTAGGGGAAAACACTGAAGATGTGGGCTGCCATATCTTCAAATTGCCCCCAAAGCTGCCAGGGCCAGCAGGTGGGGTCCGCCTCCCTTGCCCACTGTAACCTCAGGGTGAGTTTCTCTCTTTGCTGCCCAGCTGAAGTAGCCACCTGCATGCTATTGAAGCACAGGGACCTCTTCTTGAGTCTCGGCTCAAATATCTTCCCCATTTTTCCATACTTTG